TTAGAGGCGATGCGTGTTTCAACGCCAGTTAGTGCTTTGGTACACTCTTCTACCTTGGTTGCAGCAGGCATGTGGTTTGTGTGTTGTAATGGGTGGTTATTTGATGGGCTGAAGGTAGCTAGTGATATTATTGTGGTTTCTTGTTTTATTACTATTTTTATCACTGTTTTTTGTGCAATTGGTTTTTCTAATATAAAGCAGTTAGTGGCACTTTCAACAAGAAAAAAAATATCATAGTGTTTGATTTTTTTTCTTGGGTAGGTAAGCCCTGGGATTAATTCAGTTGTTGTGTCACGGGATTGCTAATTGTGGTCTTTTTATCAGGTTTGGTGATATTATGAGTAGTGTAGATGGAAGGCAAAAATATATAAAATTTTATTGTCGCAAGAGCTTGTGGGAGCTTTGTTGTTTATTTTTTATTGTGTTCAGGTTGTGTGGCCAACCATTTATGGGTGTTTTTTTTCTAAGCATCTATAAGAAATCTTTTTTGTTGTTTTAAATATTCCAATGTTTAGGATTATAAATTTGTTTTGGGGGGATTTGGTTGTTGATTATTGTGAGTTGGATGTGTGGCTTAGGGGTTGTTTGCTGTCTTGTTCGATCATAGGCGTTTGTTTTGGTGTAGCGGTTTTCTACACTCCTTCTGTGGATTGAATACTTGGTTTGATGGGAATGGATTTTTACATATATCTGTTTAAATATTTTCATGGTTGTATTCGTAAAATTGGACTGGTTTGTTACTATCGGTGGGACTCCACCTTGTGGTCTTGTGTTTTTTTAGAGATAGTGAGGTTTAAGTCTGTTGGTTTTTTTGTTGCTGTTTTTTTTATTGTTTTAGTGTTGATTGTTTTCTTATACTAGTATATTATAAATTATGTTTATTTTTCGTATAAAAGATAAAATTTTTAATTTATTTGAGTGGTGATAAATCGATTTATGTCTTATTCTGTATATACACCTCGTATTGATATGCCAAAAAGTGGTAAATTAAATTTGTTTTGGTGTAGCGGATCCATGACAGGAGTGGCTATGGTTATTTAGCTAGTGAGTGGTGTTGTTTGTTCTGTTGAGTATGTAAAATTTGTGGGTTCTATGTTTGGACTTGGCCAACCTGTTGGAGAACCTGGTCCCATAATAGATGGTTTGTCTCTTGAACTATTGCGATTTTTACACTTGTGAGGCGCTAGGTTGCTTTTTGTTTGTTTGTTTGTTCATATGGGTCGTGGGATTTATTATAGAAGATACAGAAAGAATCCTCTAATGTGAAGCTTGGGGGTCGTGTTGTATGTTTCTATAATGGCTGAAGCCTTTTCGGGCTACTTGCTTCCTTGGCATCAAATGTCATATTGAGCTGGTGTGGTGATAAGTAGAATTTTCTTATCTATTCCTTTTGTGGGCCCAACGTTGTATATGTACCTTTTGGGGTCTTATGATTTTGGTAGCAACATTATAAGTCAAGAATTTGTGATTCATGTCGTTTTTGGTTTTGTTAATATATTTTTAATTTTGTTGCACATAGTGAGCTTACATAAGGTGGGTTCTAGGGATTCTTTTAAAAGAAGTGATAGATATTCTGATTATGTTTTTTTTCACAAGTTGTATACAAGTAAGGATGTGTTTGTGTGGTTAGCGGTGTTGTTTTTTACTATGTTGTTGCTTTGTTATAGTCCATGACTAACAAGGTGTAAGGAAAATTTACAGATCCAAATATTCTTTCAACCCCAACCAGCATAAAGCCCGAGTGGTATTTTCTTCCATTTTATGCTATTCTACGCTCTATCAAAAGTAAGACAGGCGGGATTGTGGTTGTTTTGTTGGTTATTATTTTGTTTTGGGTGCCAATTACAGCCTGGTACACCGGTTTTGAAGGGGTTTTTCGTCAGTTGTTTTTTTGGGTGTTTAGCTATATAATTTTATATTTTTGGGCGTGCTAGGTTCTGTTGAGCCAACAAGTTTGTGTCAAACAATGAGGCTCTTTACCAACATATTGTTGTGTTTATCCTTGTTGTTTATTAAGGCCAGGGATTATTTTTAATTGATGTTTTATAGTAAGTAGATGCTTAAGGTATTTTTATTTTTATTATTTGTTGTTTGTGTTTTATTATTTGTTGTTTTTGGAAAATTTAGAAATCTTTTGATTGTTGGGGTGTTTTTAGTGTTGATACTGCGAAGTGATGTCTATTTTTTTTAGTTGTTTTTTTGTTTTTTTGTTTGATTGCGTTGTTCTTAAAAACCAAAAAGGTAACGAAAACATTGATTTTTTTTAGTTGTTTGTGTGGGTGTTTGAGGTTTATAACAAACAACTGTTTGTTTTTTTATGAGGCGTCCATAATAGAGTTTTGTTTTTATTATACTTGGATTCTCCATACTCTGAGCGTTTTGTGGCAGGTTGGTACCTAATAGGTTATTCTGTTTTATCTGGGGTAACTCTTCTATGATTCTTTTTTATGTTTTAACGGTGTGCGGGAGTTTTTATTTTTTACATTGAGGTAGGTGTTTAGAGTTATATGATTCTGTAGGGGGTTTTATTGTTTTAGCCTTGTTGTTTACAACAAAGTTACCACTGGCTCCGTTTTATACGTGAAACCGATTGTTTATGCTGAGGCTAGTACCCTCGTGTCGGTGTGTTTGAGGGGTTATGTGATGAAGTTGGGGGTAATAGGAGCATATCGGGTGTCCTCCTTTTTATTTTCTGATGTTGTTTGTGTTATTATTTATGTTTTTGTGATTGGGTTGTTTTGTGTATTGTGTTTTTTTTCTTCTTTGCTTGAGTTGGATGGAAAGCGTTGATTGGCTTTTTTAGGTTTAGCCCACATGGCTGTGGTATTATTGTGTTTTGTGTCATATTCTGGGCTTGGCTACTCAGCCATGGCATTGTTTGGACTAAGTCATGGTATATCGTCTGGGTTTCTTTTTTTGTTAATATGGTTTTTTCCATACTTGGGAGGCAGACGAAATGTTTTGTATTTTGGTAGGTCCTTTAATAAATCGTGGTTTTTAATATTTATTTGTTTTTGTGGTTTTTGTTATGTGGCACCCTTTCCACCAACGACTGGATTTTTTATTGAGGTTTGATTGGTTGGTTCTATTATTAAAAACCATGTGTTGTTGGGGGTGTTTTAAATGTACTTGTTTATGAGAAGGTTAATTCCTATTGTATTATATGGTTTTGGTTTCATACGACGGTTGAACATTGATAATTATAAAAGTTTCAAACTTCCAACTGTGGTTTCAATGTTGTGGTTAGTCGTTTTTTCACTCATTATTTCGTTGGTGTAATTGTAATATAAATAGGATGGTGTATAAGCATGTTGTATTTTGGTTGAAGATGAAACTAGGTGTTTTCTATTAAATTTTAGCTAGCTTAAATTAATAGCATTAGTTTGAAGAACTACAGGTAAAGAACATTCGCTAAAAAATGGTTTCTCGATTTTTTGTTGTGTTTTTTCAGTTTAGGGTTTTCAGAGGATTTATTATTCCAATTTTACTGTGTTGTGTTTGGGTTTATTACTTGTTTCTCAGTTTCCTTACGTTAGAATTCTTACATGTATATATGTTGTTATAACAGTTTTAGTTGGACTTCGGCAACTAGGTATATCAATATATAAATTGTTTTGTTTTATCAAGATATTGAATCTTTCTATTTCAAAGTTTCTTCCCTCCCCCTTGATTTCTTTTGCAAATATGCCTTTTATTTTTATAGGTGAGTGTAGTAGTCAAATGATACGACCTGTGACACTAATATTACGTTTGTTGGTGAAACTGTCTTTTGCTTATTTGGTGACTCTAACTCTGGCTAGTCAATTGATTGAGGGTTTGTTAGTTTAGGATATTTCACTAGAGGGTATTTTTATTTTTTGTTTTTTGTGTTTTATTTCTTCTATGAAATATTTGTGTTTTTTATTGACATATGTTTCACAATTGATGTTGCTGTCACTAATAATTAACATGTATCACGTGTTGTGTGTAAAGATTTTTAGTAGCTAGATGATTGTTTTTTACTATAAGGTTGTGCTAATTTGTGTGACGTTTTGTGGCCTTATTGAGTTGTTTTCAAGCAGTCTGGTTGTGTTTATTGTTTTGATGGAGAGTATGGCAATTATATTCATAGTGTCCTATTTTTGTGGTCAGAGAGTCCGAGCACTAAAAAAGTGTACAAGGGGGCTACCATGTTTTTTGTCATTACTGCTGTTTCTGGTTTGTTTATATTTTCTGGGTTAATGTGTGATTCTATTGGTTTTTTTATGTTTGGGATTATGATAAAGTTGGCAATAGATCCATTTTGTGGGTGAGTGGTTGATGTTTATGGTGTGAGTGGCTACGTTCCCATTGTAGTGTTATCTACTGTTTATAAGATTCCATTGTTTTTTATATGTTTTTTGAATGATTGATATGCCCACGTGGGTGGGGTTGTTGTTTTATGTTCTTCACCACCTTACTTTATTCTGCTCTCAATCTATTTTGTGAATATGCCGGGTGGATTATGTTGATAATTAGGTCTAGCCTAAGGTCATCAAGGTTCATATTTTTGTTTGGTTGTTTGGGTGGTGGTCTTAACTTTCTTGTGTATGTGGTTTTGGCGTGAGTGTTTTTGTTTATATTGGCTTATTTTTTTGTTTTTCTAAAGTGTAGAAAAACCCACCATACAACAAAAAAACAATAAACACTGTTGATTTTTTAGTGATGCCACTACCGTGAAGTTATTTCATAGTTTACAAGGTTTGGAGTGTATTTGTGTTTTCTAATCTTTATTTTGCGTGGTGGGTTTTTTTATTTTGGTGGCTGTATTCTGTGGTCGAACAAGTGTATTTGTATTTGATAATAGGCAACAGGTTTTTTGAAGCAATTGGTTTTTATGTGGAGACTGTTTCTAGGCGTTTGGTCTAGAGCTTAAAACAAGGTAGTTTAACTAAAATGTTTATTTTCCACATAAAGGATAGAAGATACTTCTTATTGTTAGAGTAACAACATAGTTTAAGTGTAGAATTTTAATTTTGCGTATTAGTGGTGGAGAATATTTGTTGTTACACACCTAGTTTACTGTTAAATATTGATTTTTCAATAGGATTATTTATTATAATTTTGGTGTGTGTTTATGGTTTTTATTAATTATTTCTGGTGGTTGTTATTAATTATTTCTGGTTTTTTGTTTTTTTTTGTTGTGTTTTTTTATTTTAATAGAGCAAAAGATTTTGGGTTATTCACAATCCCGTGTTGGACCAAAAAAGGTTTCACTGATGGGAATTTTGCAGAGGTTAGCCGATTTTTTAAAGTTGTTTGGTAAGATTGGGATTTTGAAAAGTTATTATAGGGGTTTGGGTTATCGTGATCTTGTTTATAATTTAAGTTTGTTAATCGAAGGTATAAAGACCAAGATGGTGTGGCCTTTTGTGTGGTCGCAGTCTCCTTTCGTTGAAT